AATCAATTTGAACGAACGATCAAATGATTGTTGTAATAATTTTAAGATAAAATATTGATTTTACAGAAGACCGAGTTCCTGATCGACCTGAGAATGTGAGAGTAAGGACAACTGCCACAACAGCAACTCTGTGGTGGGATGCACCATCGGATAAAAGTACTTTGGTAAGCTATGCTGCTAGTTTTAGAAATTGTTGTCGCATTCAAAAAGCCGGAGTGGTATGCTTATAAGTGCTTGAAAAGGTAGAATTCCAGAGTGAACAGGAATGTAAACTCGATTAAAATGCAGTTTTATGATTTTAAAATTAACATATAATTTTAATTGTTAACATAGAATTTTTAAATTACTTCTTGTGAAATTATGATGTGTAAGAAACATTTTTTTCATCTCGTTTCCTACCCAAATATAATGCTTTGTTCAGGTTCGCGGTTACACGATCTCTTATGGTGTCGCTACACCGTCACGACGTATTGTTATTGAAGGCGCAAACACGAACTCATTCACTTTGAATCGGCTTGGTGAGGTTTTCAGAAAATCAGCGAAATTTCTAGAATTGCACAGCGACCATAATATGCTTTGATTCACATTTGCTTTAATCGAGATGTCATATGGAGCAAATGGAATTGCGGCGAGTGTTTTGGCACGATTTATCCGCAAAGTCGTGTGGGAGAATAGGACAAAAGAAAGATAATTTTAAGGAAATTTAAGATTCAAAAAAGATCTTAGACGGAAGAGAAAGGGCTAGAGACATTTTTAACTTTTGCAAGCCGCTCATCTAGAATTTTTCTAATATGGAAATTTGAAAACGTGACCCAAATTTTCAAGAAATCAAAGAAAAAACTTTTTACAAACCTTTAAAAATCAACCAATCTTTAACAAAATAAATCAATGATTCAATTCGGATAACAACAGTATAAATGGAAAAGGAAAAATTTCTTTTAGAACCCGATACCGATTATGTCTTTGCCGTCGGCGCCTATAACGAAGCGGATGGGGAAGATGGCGAGCCGGTTCTGCTTTCTGCCCGAACCCTCCCTAGCGACGGTAAATTAGAACTGCATCTTCTGCCCTAGCACTCTGGAGCAAATACTTCAGGAACACCAGCGTTTTCTCTTTGGCCTCCCATAGCCGTACGAGCACATTCACCTAGGCCAGGAGAAGTTCTGGTCACATGGGAGGATCCAAATCCCGAACAGGACATTGAGAATGAGATCGATGGGACTCAACGGCATTACTTGATACAGTATGCTTTCATTTGCTCATTGAGTGCTTACAGCAACTAGAGAAAGTTGATCCTTAGGTACGGTATTTACCAATCCGAGCAATTGTCAAAAATGCGGTCAAATTCTCGAAGTGTTAAACTAACCGGCCTTCTACCTTCAAAAGAATATGAAATCGCAGTGAAAGTCGTTGGAGAAGATGGTCGAGAGAGTCCATGGAGCATTAGAGATATAGTACTTACACCACCAGGTAGTACTACTGTAGCGGGAGGTACTGTGACTTTTCCTTGGTTTTGTATTTTGAGTTCGCCTAAGTTTATTTCACAAAAATACGCCCTTTATTTAAATTTGAACTTTGTCTCTGTTCAGATCCCAACCATGAAGTTTCACGATATGACTGGGAATGCGATTTTGAGAAGGATATGTGCGGAATGCGTAATGGAGACGGGGTGGATTGGATTAGAGCTGGCGGAAATCCTCCAGCTGATCATGGTAGGAATACAGAACTTTTGTATTCAAGCACGTGCAGCAGCAATCTTGGGGCTTATTGTCAAGAGTAACTTTCCATAACCTAATGACCTTTTTGAATTAGGTAACGGTTGGCATTAATCGCATTTAGCATCAGTAAAATGTGAAAAAAAACACTTATAACACTCTATTCAAGCAAAAACAGTACATGCACGTGTTATGAGAAAGATAGGACAAAATAGAACGTCTTTGCTAGATAATAGAATGTATTTAATAATATATGTAAAAGAACTGTTGATAAAAAGATGAAGTATAAGAAAACGAAAAAATAATGAAGAAACCACGCTTTTCCATCTTAGATTTTTCTAAACAAAATTCTAGAAGATAACTCTTTAAACAATATACAGGTAGATGCCAAGCCCGTAATCTTTGTATTATCAACCATATTGCAGTATATTTGACTTTTTTGTGCAGCCAGCCAGATTTTAGTGATGTGTTTAGTTATAGCTCAATTGAGCTTTTAAGAGAAAGTAGTTCTGCTGATGGGGCTTGGTTTGTATAGAAGAAGACATAAAAGAATGCTATGTCTTACTTTTGAAAAGAATGAAATGACTAGTCATATGTTACGGTAATTGGCCACCATTTTTAAAGTTGTGCACACAGGTGCAGCAGTCAGTATTAAAATCTTCGGCAAAATCTCAAAATTGTTTTGCTGAAATTAACGTTAATTTTGCTTGGTACTGAACAAAGACAACTTATCTAATTTAAGCATTATTATTTTGTACTCTAATTAAATCTT